GAGTGAACGAGGGCAGCTCGAAGAGGTTTGATCACCATGGTTTAGTCAGGTGGCATATAGTTATGTTATAGCTTAGGGGCTTGTGGTTTTGTTGTTGCTGTTTATCACACCGGTGGCTAGGGTGAGGCTATAAGGGGTTGGAGGAGGCCTCATAGGGACCCCCAGAGGGGTGGGGGCCCCAGCGCCTGAGGAGGGTTCAGCGTACTCGTTGGGGACTCGCAACAAAGGGTGAGGACCCCAGCACCAGAGCAGGCGCAGCATACTCAGGGGGAACCCCCAGTGGTATGGGGACCCCAGCGCCAGTAAGGGCGCAGTATCCTTAAAGGGGCCTCACAGCGGAGTGTGAGGACCCCGGCGCCCAGCGTGGGCACAGCGAGCCCCAGGGAGGGGGCAGTATTATTAGGAAGCCCAGCGTGGGCACAGCGAGCCCCAGAGAGGGGGCAGTATTATTAGGAAGCCCCAGGGCGGGCGCGGCGAGCCCTGAAGAAGGCCTAGTGCTGCAGTAAACCCCAGAGAAGGGCGGTGTACTGCGGTGAACCCCGGCGAGAGGGGGTAGTGGTGCGGTTGGGCCTGAGAGACGGGTGGCTCGACGAGAAGTCCCAGAGGGGGCGCAGAAGGCCCCAGGAAAGGGGACGACATTGCAGGGAAGGCCCCGAGTGGGCTCGGAGGGCCCAGTAGGGGTCAGCACAACAGAGAAGGCCCCGAGAGACAGGCAGGAGTATAGACAGAGAGACACACCAACGTCTATCCCATCTGTGAGGCTTGGGGCGTGGTATTAGGGGTTGGTAGGAGCCACGTGTAGCCCATAAGGCTAGGGTGCCTGGAACGCACCCAGTGTACAGGGAGACCCCCAGTGGGTCTGGGAGAACACTGGGACGGAGGTCCCAGCTAACCATGCCTAGGAGACGTAAGTCAGCCTCCCAACTTAACCTGAGATCAAAGATGTGGCGGGCGAGAATAGAGGGTGCCCTTGGGCCAAATAGGCACGGAGAGGGGGCCTTAAGGAGATCACGGCCCTCCTGTAGGACTCTGCTGTGACAGCTCGTTTGTGAGAAGTGTTTTGTAAATTCAAACAGGCACTGAACCTCAGTAAGCTTATCACCAGCAGCAAACTTCCTACAGCCCAAAACACTATGAATGGATCCAGACCATGCCATGACAAGAAATGCAAAACCTGACGACATATCTCCAGTACCCCTGCAATTACTGCACCCCACATCAGAACCATCACCATTCCTGGATCTTACAGCTGTACTTCCAGAAATATGATATTATCTCATCCAGTGAACTAAATGCCCTGATGGAAAGTGCATAGGTGCACCAAATGCCCTGCTACATCCCCCTTCTCATGCCTACTACCCACCCGCTTCTGGGTTGAGGGTCAGGATCCTGCCTTATCCCTCTCTCCAGCAGGCAGAGGCACAACAACAGGAGGAGCTGAGCTACCTGCCTACACAACCTTCTCTGAAGTGCCTTCCAGAGGAGACCTGCCTCTAAGGGAACTTTGAGGGGTGTGGAGCACAAACTCAGATTCTCCCTCCTTCCCGAGAATTTCTTTAGATATGGTACTCAGCTCCTATGCTTCCAGATCCAGCTCCTCCTTTGGCACTGGAAGGCTTACATTAGGAATTGAAATTGGGGTGGAGACTGTCATGCTGGTGCTGGTGGTTATTACTGGTGTTAATGGAGGTGGTGCAGATGCAGACACTGCTCCCACCTCCTTGCACCCACTAGCAGCAGAAGACTCATAGCTGCCAGGAAAGAAGGTGCATCTATGCTTGGGGCCTTGGGATGGGGAATGGGACTTGCAGCTCTCCCTCTGCCCCCTCTCCCTCCCCTGCCAAAAGACCTGGCACCTGCCTTTCCAGCACGCTTCATGTTTGGTGTGCTGCAAAATGTGTGCGTGTGTTGCGTGCTTTCCTGCGTAGTGATGACACACTGTCAGGGAAAACAGATTTCTTTTTGTGGGGGGAACAGACTAACAAGAACAAATAAGAGGATTTTTGGGGAAGAATAAGTTGAAAGGGATAACAATAGGGATGGTAGTTGAGGGTAAGTAGGAAAGGATTGGATAAAACTTGCTAGCAAGAGACTAGCTAGTGCTATCAAGCCAGCATCTTTCAGGTGCTGCTGCTGCAAGACGGACACAGCTTGCAAAAGGCACAGAAACAGATCACTTCAGACACAGCCTTATGTTGTTTCTATGTCCTTCCCCCAGAGCACTATGATTGGAAGGGGACTCAGGGAAAGATCTTAGTCACTGGCCAGCTACAGATGTCAATATCAGAACAGTCCTGCTCACCTTCTTCCCCCTCCCTCTTAGTTTGTTTCCTGCAAGTCTGCCTTCCTAATCTATTTGGATGCTTCAGATTTGATTTGGACTCTTTTAATGGGTCTCCCGATTTGATTCGGATTCGGAGATTCAGCCACTGAATTGGGCTGAATCTCCTCTGAATCGAATCGAATCGAATACTTAAGCTTTGCACAGCCCAGCTGCCCTTCCCCCTCCACCTCAGCTCCCGCTTTGCCCCTCCCCACCCGCTACTGCTCCCCCCTCTCCCCTCCTTACCCTTGCTCCACTGGCAGGCAGGCTGGCAGCCCAGCTCCATAACAGTCATGCAGGCTGTTCACCACTACTGCAGGGCCAGGCTGGGGCCATGCTCAGTGCCCTAGGTTGCAGCATGGACAGAGCCTGCTGATGCTGAGCAAGGATAAAGTTGTGGGGGTGTGGGGAGTAGAGGCTGTTGGGGTGGTGAGGGGGTGGGAGGAATTGGCTGCAGGGGAGAGATGGTGGGGTACAGAGGAGGTGAGGTAGGGAGAGCAGGCAGCAGCTGCAGCTGCCCAGATCCAGGGGCTGGAGCCTGAGCCACAGTAGCTGCCTGCCCTCTCACACCAAACTCATACTCAGTTTTACAAAGAGGGGCTTTTTTCCCCATGGTAAATGTGGGGAAAAACCCTTGTTTTAGAATTGAATAAATATGGTATTCTGATTTAGAAGTGTCTAAACTACACTGCTGCTGAATTCCATTTGAATTTGAGTAGCTCTAGGAATGGTGAGTTACCACCGGCTTTTTCCCTTGTTTTCATAACTGTCCCCACTTTTGGCAGAAGGGATTTAGTGCTGTAAAGGGAAAATAACCACAAATAGCCTGGTTACATGAAAGAGGAGATTGCAGACAGATCCTTAAAATAATCCATAACCCCTTCTTTATGCAACCTTGCTCAATATTGCAGGCAGTTGTCCAATATGCACAATAGGTTTAAGCTATGTGGACATTTTTTTCAGCAAATGCTAACAAAGAACAGCAAGCAAAATATGCTACAGTCATTTGAAGAGTTCAGATACAGTATGAAGACTGTGCTAATAACCTTTGTACATGCATTGTCTTTTTAATGAAGGCAGCTGCTATCCAAGCCTAGAACATTGCGGTCAGTCAGATGTGTCAATCTAGGAGTATTATGCAACATGTACTATACAAAAAACTTTTATCTGTTACTATAAGTATGTGAACTGCATCTCAATTAAAATTCAAGTGAGTTTTCTATCCCATGCTGCTTGTTATATGGTCCTCTGCTGAGCACTGCTAAAGAAATTAGTTTGATTCAGAATAATTTCTTCAGCCCTAGATTCTTTGCAGCCCTTGCCAGTCTGACCTTGCATAACATCTAGAAACAGAACTTGTGGCATCCCTGAGGGGTTCTTGTGGTGCCCTAGTATGCCACACCACCCTAGTTGGGAATTGCCATTTGAACTTCGTGGTGTTCACTAGGGCTATGCAACATTTCTCCGAGTGTTTTGTTTCGAAGCTGTTTTGTGGTGTTTTGAGCTCAAAACAGCGAAATCAAAGTGAAATAAATAACTTTGAAACAGCTTTGAAACGACATGAAGGCACTTGAAAGGTTTCGAAAGTTTCGAGTTTTCAAGCAGCCCAGTGGCAGGAGGCAGGGGAGAGCTAGGACTGTGCTCTGAGCGCCTCTGCAGCCCCATGGCAGCCAGGCTGAGTTCCATGGGGCTGCGGAGCCACTCGGAGCACAGCCCTGCTCTCCCCTGCCAGATGACAGGAGGCTGCCGCTGCTGCCTGGAGCCAGTGGCAGCATCAGTCTTCCTCAGTGCTGGGTGCAGCGCTAGTTCCAAGTGGCAGCAGCAACCTCACATCATCTGGCACACAGATCCAGTGGCTCATACCCCAGGAGAGGTCCAGCACACCCCCACAGCCCTCCCGGGGGTGCGGGCCCCTGGATCTGAACTCCAGATGCCACTGCAGGCAAGTGTCACAAGTTTGGCCTTTTCCAATTTGAGGTGTGATTTCCAAGAAACCTCTGCACCTATCTCCTTGAAACTTGACAGTCTTTGTGCCCTCAGAAGGGGCTACCATCCCTACAATTTTCATCCAAATCAGGCAGGAAATTACAACCATTTAGGCATTTTCATGATTCCCCGTTATAATCTATGGGCGAACCATCAAAAAGCATTGAAACAACAAAACAGTTTTGACAAAATGAAACGGGACAGTGCTTCAAAATGAAACAACGAAACAAAACACTGTCCCTTTGAAACAGTGAAACAGACATCGAAATGAAATGATGGTTTTTCACACAGCCCTAATGTTCACCCTTCCAGCCCTGTGGGTTGGATAGGTGATGCAGAGCAGGTCTGCAGGCCAGATCTAGTATGCAGCCAGCACCCAGGATTGGTTCATGGGTACAGTCTGCCACACCAGATCCAGCCACAGGGCAACCCCATTCACTGGGTTCCAGCCTCGCTCTGTGCACTGTATCTGGAAGCTGTGGCAATTAATGCTGCCACTGCTCCCCTGTCACTAAATTTCTAAACCCATAGGGAGCCCCACAGGATGGTTTTGGCTCACCGACCAGAGGTTGAGCCCTGTTCCAACTGAATGTAAGAAACACAGATCCAGAAAGTCTAACCAAGCTCAGTGCAGGAAGGGATAAGGATGTAGAAAAGTGGAAGAGAAGTTGTAGTAGAGGAACAGGCATATATCTGAAACGTTCATATTTTAAAAGAGTATTCATGCCCTTGAAAATGCTACTCATGAAGAAACCATTTCTTCAGGAGTAAGGTAAAATGGTAGGTTTGGGGAGGGCAGGGGGAGAGAGGGTTAATTATTAAAAAGTAAATGCTGGTGGTAAAGGAGACAACTTTTTCAGATTTTGTAACAGCCGTCTACATTAGAAAATAGCTACTGCAGTGTTGGAAACCTCTGCTTTGTGACTGAAAATACTAGAGAAAACTTAAATGACATATGATATCTGAAGTCAGTTTTGTTTTCATTCTATGAAATTCTTAGACCTTTTTTAAATTAGCTGTCCCCTTTGGAAAATTGGTTGGTAATACAGTTACATGCATAACTGGGGGAAAAATGAAGTCATAGGCACTTTTAGTTACTACTGTGTTTGCACATAAATAAATATCTTATTTTTGCAGCAATACATTACCAAAACAGCTAACCCCAATGGTAGGACTTTCAGTGAAAGGAGCCTTGTACCAAGTGCCTTTTATGGTGTGTTCTCCCCTGAGGCTTGTAACAAATATGTTGTGCAAGTTGAATCAAGCCACAGTGGTTTGTGCAGAGAAGCATGTGCAGTTCTAATTTAGGTTTATGCACTTCCTTATCATTTAGGAGTTGTAAAAACACATTCCACGTTTCACTTTTTTTCTAGAACCATTGTACATGCTTTTAATTTTTAAAAAAATAGATTGGATTTGAGTATCATTTTCAAAATGTTTATCTCTCGTACAGGGAGCAATTGCTGCCTGCATACTGGGAGCGGTCAGCAATGTTTTCCGGCATCAGACCAGAATAACCCAGTCTGGGTTTGAGGCAGGCCCATGCTAAGACCTGACTGACACTCCTACAGCACCCTGCTGCCAAATCCCCAACTTCCTCGCTGTGGCATGGGCAAAGCCTTCTCCGCAGGCTGTATCCATTGGCTCTGCAGGCCTGATCTGTCCCATAGACGTTAGGTTGCCAACCCCTGTGCAGGTAGAGAGAATCACTTCCACTGAGGAAGACATGTGAAAGCAGTCTACATCCTTAATGCCTGGGTGCTTATTTGTTTTTATAGTTTTCAGCTAAACTTCTCAGTCCATCTATTATAGTTCAAGTTTATAAAAATTTCTCAATGTTAAGTGGTTTTAAGTCCTGGTTAAGTGGCTTTTGGCCCTTTCTCAGCTTTGTCTTCAATTGTCTAATCTTTCATGGCAGAGATCCAAAAGTATTTCTTGAAGAAGCTTCTGCTTGTTTTGCACTTAATCAGTTCTGTTAAACTGTTCTTTTCTCTTCTGTTAATTTCATATGCATTGTTTACTAGCATAATATCACTTCTAGTGGTTTATACAGTGCAACTAATAACTGTCAGTGTGGTTTCTCTGCTCTTACCCCTAAAAGAATTGTGTGCACGGTGTACTATTTGGTTTGTAGTGGTTGAGTTTTTTGATAGCTTGTTTTGTCTCCTGCACCGACTAACTTCACCCTTATAGTAAAACATTCTGTTGGGGTAATTTCTCATAGTCTTCATCTGAGCTTTTGGCCCCCTATACACATTATGGGTATCATGCAGTTAATTGGTTTATTGCTCAACTACCTTGAGACCAGGAAAGTAGCTATCACGCCATTAATAGCCCCAACCAGATATACAGTTAAAACTTGAAAATGTGTATTGACTTTATAGCTAGTTGCTATTGAGCTTTAATTTGCACATGTAGCAGGGTCTCCTCTGCAACTAGGAGCCCTGTCATCTGGCAGGGCTCCCAGCTGCAGGGGTACACCATGCTGGGACCCAGCTGAGTCCCAGTAGCTGTGGGGTGCAGATGCCTCAGGGGTGCATGAAACTGGGGGATTGCAGCTGCTGTCCCCAGCCTTGTGGAGGGACCCAACTGAGAGAGCTCCCAGCTGCAGGAGCTTGCTTCTTGCCAGTGCAGGAGAAGCCCAGGATTGGGCTTCCCTCTGTACTGGCAATATGGCATGATGGGGTCTAATGTGTGATCCAGTAGTCACACCTCCTGCCATGTGTGTCATGTCAGGAGGAGCGATTCTGTGGCTCATGCATTAGATCCCATCCATTTTTCTTTTGCACACGTAAAGGGCTTATAGGGTTACCTTTTTGTAGGTTGACCCAGGTCACTGAGCACCTTAAAGATAATGACAGAGGCCTTGAACTTAATTTCATAGTAACTATGAAACATCTGTTTCTTAACAACCTTCAATTTATTTAGTTTTTCAACTAATTGGATTTAGATACACCAGCCTCACAGAAAAGCAGTAAGACTACATGCTCTTGTATTAAGTTTTGAAAATACCCTGATTAAAGCAAATCAATTGGGTTTTAGATGCAATGGCATCTTTCTCTGAAGGGATGTGATTCTTTTTTACTTCTAGAAATGTCTCTCTCTCTATTTTGAAAAGGAATTTTTTTCCAGGCCTGGTACATGGTAAATTCAATAACCGTATCAACTGTAGACCATGGAAAACTCCGTTACGTATAATAGAAATTACTGAAAACACTGAAAAAGGCAGAATTATTTTCCTAAGGGATAAAAATAAGTTATTTATATGAAAAATGGGATTAAAACTGATGATTCAAATATTTTTGTGTAGGATTGTATAGTAAATCATCCTCAACGTTGTTGGCAGTCCTAGTTTTAGATCTTGTAAAAGGAAAAAGTGAAAGGTTCATCATTCCTATACTCAGTACAATATCTATAATTAGGATACTGATAATTAGTGTGGTACTTTCCTTGCTAGTGTCACTAGTTACTCCTTTCCTTTGAACTCCATTTAGTATTTTTTTGTGTGTGTGTGTGTGTGTGTGTGTGTGTGCGCGCGTGTGTGCGCGCGCGCGCGTGCATGCCCAGCTCTGGCATTTTAACAAATAGTAAATTGATCTCATTTTTAAATATGTGAAATAAGATTTCTAACTCGTATCGCTAAAAAAAAAAAAAAAAAAAAATTCTCCATGTAAACTTAAAATTAGCTGTAGCAGTAAAGTTGTGAATAGTGTTGATATTTGGCTCTACAGTAAATAAAGGAAGGATGAAACCTCTTTACAGCTTCATCCCACTATAGTTTCAGAAGTATAGTTCTCTAAGGATGCCTTAAAATCATTTTGGTACTAGTATTTGGGCAGCAGATTTTTATTTTATTTATATTTTTATTTTTTATTTTTTTAAACTAAGGGATGGAAATAGGCAATGGAAAATGAAGTAATATGTAGAAAAATAAGTTTAATACACACCACCATACAATATTTTAATAAGTTATCCAAGTATTAATGTTTGCTGATTTTGGCTGTATTCTTAAAGAAATCCATGGTATCCTGCAAGGTATGAGTCAATAATTAAAGATCCAAATAATTACAGTTACATGATAGGAAGAAAAGGGGTTGTATGAAAAGTGGAAGTTGGTCCAAGAGTTTGTGACCATTGGACCTAGTCTTCCCATGGGGTGTCCTGGTGAACAGATGTTCAGCTAGTTCCTGGTCTCCACCCCTTATATACTTATAAGTTGCCACCAAGTCACCCCGAGCCTACGCATTTCCAGGCTGAAAAGTCTCATGTCTCTCAGCCTCTCCTCATAACGCCTGCTCTCTTGTCCTCTCATCATTCACGTGGCTCTCCTCTGGACTCTCTCGAGCTTCTCCACATCCTTTCTGAATTGTGGAGCCCAGAACTGGACACAGTATTCCAGCTGTGGTCTCATCAAGGCCAAGTAAAGTGGAAGGACGACTTCCCGGGTTTTGTTTGACATGCATTAGAGGAAGCAAGTTTTGTTTGCTTAGCTGGCTGCAGCATCACATTGGTGGCTCATGTTCATCTTGTGGTCAGTCATAACCCTCAAGTCTCTTTCAGATGCGGTGCTAGCTAGCGTAGCACTGCCAAGCCTATAAAGTGGGCGTGGGTTCTTTCTCCCAAGGTGGAGCACCTTGCATTTCTCAGCATTGAATGCCATCAGGTTTTGATGGCATTCACATTCGTTCACATAGAGCTACACCCTGCCTTTTCTAGCAACACAATCTCTCCTGTACAAGGTGTAGTCATCTATACCTGTGGTCCGGTCATAGGTGAAGTCCCACCAGGTCTCCATTATCCCTATGAGATAATATTATTACTGTTTAGGAGTAGAGCCAGCTTCTCCTGCTTGTTGCCCAGAAAGATTAAAGAATACCTTGCAAAGATTGAACCAATTCAGGCTCTGGCTTTTTGAATGCCTGTCCCTACCCTAAGTGGAGGTAGATGGAGAGAATCAGCAAACAGCAGTAGCATGTCAAATAAACAGTTGAAAAGCAAGGTTTTTGGCAGTTATTAGAACATACAGGAGCATATTTAATTCTGATTTGATAGGAATAGACAAGAAGGGGTGCCTAAGGTTTTGGACACACAAATTATACCAAATTAAAAATATATGTGGTAATTATTTCATGTTCTCTCAAACAAAAACTAAACTCTCTCTATATATACTCAGTTCTGTCTTGAAGATTGGCAATAAGGCTCCCTCTGCTGGATTCAATTACTTAAAACTTTCCTCTTGGCAAATGTTTACCATTGTGCACGCACATGCTTTGTGTGCATGCACACAAAATATTCATCCCAGGTGCAATACTCCTAACTCAGGCATTCATAGAACTGGCTTAAGTGTCAGGAGATTTTTTTTTAAATGCCAGGTTTTTTTTAGCTTTAGGATTCCCCTTTACAGGCTTTTTCCTGGAACCATGAGAACTAGAAACGTTTTAAATGGAAGTAGTAAATCTCATGTAATTTTAGGAATTAAAGCTTTGGCAAAAACACCAGTTATCACAAGATATGTGTTTAAAAATCACAGTTGTAACACTGAGAGTGTCACTACCCTGGAGCTTATTTGTCACCGTATAGATCTTCAGAGGATTGTAGTCATGGGATATACATTTTCATTTCTGTTTTTCTAGACAGGCTGCAAATTCAGTATTGTACTGCAAGCTACTTTCAACCACAACAAACAAACAGAAAGCAGCAGCTAAAAGGCGGCTTTGAAGTTTTTCCAATGGATCTTTTCTCTTTTCTATCTGATACATCTTCAGGACAGGATATTGTAACAGGACTGTCCAACTTCAGTGTGGCTGGGGGCTGCAGGCAAAGCCAGGGCCTAAACGTGGCACCTCACATACTACTTGAGGCACGCACTGGCGTGCAGTCCCCAGGATCCTGCCCCTGCTAGTTAAACTGGCATGTACCCCCTTTTCTCACCACTCCACCAGCAGCACATGGCCCCAGTTGAACACCCCTGTATTATAATAAAGAAAGTTGCATTGTTGTCATCTCCTGTTGATTTTTTACTTTGAAAAGATTTATTTTAACATTTCTGAGCCAGATTCTAAGCTGTGTAGCAAGTTGTGGTCTAATAGGCTGAAATCAGTTGTACTTATTGGCACTTTGTGAAAAACTGGTCCCACTTTGCTAATGTTGTAGTTAATAAAGCTTGCTTTGTATAAGAAGAGCTGATAATCCAGAAGAATTCTCTTATTCTTGCTCTTGTACCTGGGTACATAGGAAGGATACACGTTAATGGCAGTTTGTCAGGTGTCTGGTCCTGAAGGTGGAAGTAGAATAAGCTGCTCTTTTTAAAGGAGGAAGACAGGCAACCTCTTGAGGAAATCTTCAAAATATAATCAGTTATGTTCAAAGCTTTAATGGAGAAATATGTCAAATGAACTTGACAGTCTAGGAGGTGTACATTAAAGTACTCTCACCAGGGAGGTTGCAGTTATTAATGTGAAATTTCTTCTTTCACTATATTTCATAGATTTCATGGACATTGGGGACTGGAAGGGACCTCGCAAGATCATAGAGTCCAGCCCCGCTGTCGTAGGCAGGAAGTCTGCTGGGGTCAAATGATCCCAGCAAGATGTGCATTCAAATGCCATTTGAATGAATCCAGAGTAGGTGCTTGCACCACCTCTGGGGGAGTCTGTCCCAGACCCTGGACACTTGTACTGTAAAGAATTTTTTCCTTATGTCCAGTCTAAATCAGCTTTCCAGAAGTTTCTGAAACTACACAACCAATTAATTAGTCTTTGACTGAAACATCACTCAGACCAGAAAAGGAGTTTCTGGGGAAAATAGCACTGGTAAGACTACAGTTTTCATACTGACTGAGTTCCTAGGAAAAGTCGGGCATTATGAAAAACTACTCATGGAGAAATCTTGGGAGGAAGTGGGAGAGAAATAAAATGCTGGGAAAAACTTCCACATTGTTTTGCTGGAGTAACTCTCATTTTATAAAGACTTCATAAGAGTAATAGTTTACTGATTTCTGAAGAGTCTACACGTGCAATTGATGCAAAGTAATAAGCTCCAGAGCAGTTTGAGCCTGAGTAAACTACTTTTGGGCACAGTGTCTACATGTCCGTGTGGGACAACAGCAATTTGAGCCAGGACAGAGCAGGTCTGGGCTGGCAGGGGGCTCTGGGCTCCAGGGATAGTGACAGAGGTTACACATAAGCCAGTTTAAGTAATCAGAAACTGGTTAAAACCTGTAACAGAACAGAAGCTCAGTGCACATAAACCACTTTCAAAATGGCTGAAACTGGTTTAAGATAAACCTGGTTGAAAGAAGTATCAGACCTAACTGATTTGAGTCAAACTAATTTATGAAACTTCTGTCCCAGGCCCCTTCCTGTTTAAATTACAGTCTCCCAGCATGCTTTCCAGCCTTGGGTTGGGCTGTGCTGTCTGCTCCAGCAGAGAATGGTTGTGGGGGATGGGAGACCCAGGACTGCCCCCTCCCCCCCAGCAGACCCCAGCCAGGGGACAGGGAGTGGGGTTAAACCCATCTTCCCCCAAGTACAGAACTGCCCTGGTGCTAAACTTACTGAAACTTACTGCTGACTCCAACTGTGGAGTGCAAATCCCAGAGGTACCTAGAAACAAGAAAAGGAAGCCATGAGCAACCCTGCAGAATCCTGCTCCTGTGATTTTGGGCTACGAATCCCAGAGACCTCAGGGGCAGCAGGAAGAGGAAGGAAACACACAGCCCATGCTGGCTATGTATAGAGAGGTGTGTTTTAGCACCCCTCAGTTTCTGGCCTGAGCCACTGCAGGCATGTGGCTGCATTTGCTGAATCAAAAGTAAATGTGTGTCCAGTCGTTTCTCAATTTAGTCTCTGAAATTAAGGCTAACCTGCAAAGTCTGAATCGATTGAGCCTTGAGGCAGAGGGGCTGGCTGGGGCACAGGGGTGCTGAAAGTATGGAGCCGTATGGCTAGGCAGTAAGCAGGAATCTGGCTCCCGGCTGCCTGGGCACAATTCACATGCTTTTAATCGTAGTAAACTACTCCGTCTTAAGGTAGTACTTTCTCCAACAGTACTATCTTACATGGAGTTGATTAGTTTTCTGCAGCCTAATATGTGCAGATAGTGATGCTTTACTGTGCAGCTAATTAGTCTGCTCTACAGTAAAGCACACATGTAGATGCACTCAGCAAATAGAAAAGATCCTACTGATTTCAGGAGATTTTAGGCTAACCCTAAAACTCCTATGTTGATACCAGATTTTTTAGGAGCGTTAATCACACCTCAGTTTTTCTTTTTGCATCCCTGGAGGTTTGTTTGAATTATACCTGCAACTTTTTCTCACTCTTTGAAATGTCTTCTTCCTTTTTCTGTAGCAGATGGCAGGTGTTAAAACTTTTTTTCCCCTCTGACCCCTGAAAATTGTCAGACTAAAAAATACTGTGATTTTTCTCCGGTAGGGTTTTCCACAACATGGAAATAGGGTTTTCCCAGCACTAAAAATGCCTTCTCCTCAGTTTCTGAGAGCCTTTCTAGGCATAGATAGCTTGTCATAGACATGAGAACTCATTGGTCAGAACTTAAACGGGCAGTAAAATGAGAGTTGCTTTAGTCCATTCTAAGATTAAAAGTTTTAAATGCTCAGTGGAAGCTTTGAATGAGTGAGCCTCTGATCAGGGATCTGATGTAAATCACTTCTGTGATCTGTTCTTGGGGTGGAATCTGTGTTGCCCCTCCAGAATAAAGGAAAGCCAAGGTAGTTTTAAGCCCTTTTGTACCCTACAAATCCTGGTATGTTTTAGGGATTTGCACAGACCCTGGCACAATTAAGGTGGATTCAAGGGGCTGGGGTTGTGCAGTCATGTGGCTGGCTGTGCCACCCATGTTAGCTGTCAGCATGGGGTGTGGCCAGAGCCCCTGCTTTCACACAGCTCCAGAGCCCAGGGATTGAGTGCTGCCACCACCACTCATCTCCCTTTTCTCCTACTTCTAAATTCGGTAGGAAAGGGGAGGGAGGAGAAGAGGGAACAGCAAACAACAGGAGCATTCACTATCTAAGATCCAGAGCCACCAAAAATAGGGGCTCTGGCTGACCCTTCCCTGATCAGCTGGTGAGCACAGAGCTCTGGCAGGAGCCTATGCTGATTGGGCAGCCAAAGTGGGAGATACCCCTGCCTCTCTAACCTGTTCTTACATCCGCTATTGCCTGAGTATCTAAATTATAGCCACCTTCTCAGACTGTCCCTTGTTGCATTCCAGTCCCCACAGCCCCATCCATGAGATTGCCCTATGCCAGGACTTGTGAGGAAGTCCCTGAAAGATATGTTCATCTGTCTTTCTAGTGCTACACCCAGAATCCTCCATGGGCAACACATGGGCTTTTGGTAGATATATAGTCTATTTATGTAGAACTAAGTAGCAAGGACAAAAGGATACAAATCTAGTCCTCAGGTCTTGCCTTCATGATCAAAAAAGGCATGTTCTCACATTCTTGCTAAGCCAAGGTAAAAGTCTATTGAAAATATGGTTATTACAGCTTTTCATATGTATTGTAGGTTGGGTTTAAGGACTAGAGAGAGGTGGTTGAGATGTGCTTTTGTCAGGAAATGCTGATCCATCAGAACGTTGTGCCAGGACATAGTATTTTCATAAAATCCTCCCCAGAGACAAAATTGTGAAAGTTCTTGCTGGACAACAAAACCATTTCCCCCTCAGCTTTATTTAAGGTTGTTTTAAGAACCTAGTGTTTAACTTGATCATCTGGTTAATGCGAAGACTATGAATTTCGTTTTCTTCAATAGGATTTGACCTCCTCTTAACTAACTGCAAAAAGAACCTGACTTTTATCACAGTGAAAACAGTCATAGGATACGTACAGATATTCAGGGAGGTTAGAGGTGGTTAGATTGAGTTAAAAACAGCCGCCCGATCTAAGGTAAGCCGGAGGGGGCGGGGCTTGGGCAGAACAGGGAAGCAAGCGGGATCTGCGGAGGTGCTGGCAGGATGGGGGAGGGGGCTGTCTCCCCCTCCCAGGCCTGGGGGCTATTTTTAGCCCCCTGAAATCCTCCCCACAGTGAACCAGTTGCCAGATTCTGCTCCCCGCTCCCCCCACCCTGACTTACTTCCTTGGCTCCTGGCACCAGTGAACACCAGTAAAACTGGCCCCGGGAGCAGCTTGAGGCATGGGGGTTTGGTGGGCTTGGGGGCAAGGTCGGGGGGAAACGGGTGATCTGCTGTAGGGGTTGTCCATCTGGGGAAAGGAGGGAGAGCCAGGGGGCTAAAAATAGCCTGGTGCCAGTAGCTGGGCTCTCCCAGCCTCAGGGCTGTGATGATCTATCAGAAGTTCAAATAGATCAGTCGTACCAGACCCACTCTAAATTCAGTTACCTCAGAGGTACACTTAAGTCGGATCAGGTCAGCCACTTTTAGACTGACCTAACCTTCCTGAACTTCTGTATAATGCTTACTGAGATCAACCTGGGTTTAGATCAAGTGACCATTTTTTAACATGATCTAAGCTCCCCCTATCCAATGTCTCCAAATGTCTGTACCTAGCCTATATGATTAGATGGTCTTCTACTTACTGTATCCAATGAGGTACCCTACATAACAAATATGATTGAAAATTATATTTGATATACCACAACTTTGGTCATTCATCTGTTTGTTTGTTTTAAAGGTCATATTCTAAGCCTCTTGAGTCAGTAATCTGTGAATTAATGCCTCCACATTCATGAAATAAACGAGAACTTGCTTTGTGCTTCTCTGTTGTTACTGTACGCATGCGCACACACATTCACTATAGTAAATTTCATGGGTTCCATAGCCTTTCATAGACACTAGGGCTAGAAGGGACCTCAAGAAATCATCGGGTCCAGCCCCCCGCCCCAGGGACAGGAAGTCAACTAGGGTCAAAGGATCCCAGCAAGATAAGCATCCAAACGTTCCTTGAATGAATCCAGAGTAGGTGCCTGCACCACTTCTGGACTGAATCTATTCCAGGCCTTGGGGGCTCAGACAGTAAAGAAGTTTTTCCTTATGTCCAGCCTGAAACGGTCATGGAGGAGTTTGACTATTGGTCCTTCTTATCCCTTGGGGCGCTCTGGTGAACAGATGTTTCCCCAGATCCTGATGCACACCCCTTATGTACTTACAGGCAGCGACCAGGTCCCCCCTGAGCCTGACCTTTTCCAGGCTGAAGAGTCCCATGACTCTCAGCCTGTCATCATAAGGCCTATTTTCCTGCCCTCTGATCGTGCGCATGGCTCTCCTCTGGACTCTCTCAAGCTTCTCAACATCCTTCTTGAATTGTGGAGCCCAGAACTGGATGTAGTACTCCAGCTGTGGCCTCACAAAGGCCGAGTACAGCAGGAGGATGACATGCTAAGATTTACTTGAGAAGCATCTATAGATGCAAACCAGAGTTTTGCTTGCTTTACCAGCTGCGACATCATATTGGTGGTTCGTGTTCATCTTGTGGTCAATCATGACCCCCAAATCTCTTTCAGCCATGGTGCTAGCAAGCGTAGCACTGCCGAGCCTATAAGTGTGCTGCAGCGTTTTTTTTCCCAAGGTGGAGTACCTTGCATTTTTCAGTATTGAACGTCATCAGGTTTATATCTGCCCACTTACTAAGCTTATTCAAGTCAGCCTGGATCACTAACCTGTCCTCATGTGTGGATGCTATGCCCCAAAGTTTAGTGTCATTGGCGAACTTGGCCATTGCACTTCTGGTACCAATGTCCACATCGTTGCTAAAGATGTTAAACAGAACTGGTCCAAGGACAGAGCCTTGGGGGACACCACTGGTCACGGAGCGCCATAGTGATTCGCTTCCATTGACTACTACTTTCTGGGTCCGACCTCAGAGCCAGTTTCCCAGCCATTGGACTGTGGTGTAGCCAAGGCCACCGTTGGCCAATTTTTCCATGAGGAGATCGTGGGACACCACATCAAAGGCTTTTCTAAAGTCCAGGTATAAGTCAGTCTCTTCTCCCTTGTCCAGGTGATATGTTGCGTGGTCATAGAACGAGATGAGATTGGTCAGGCAAGATCTACCTGCGACAAACCCGTGCTGGTTATCCCTCAGGATTTTGCCATCAGCCAGCTTATCAAATAAATCATAATAGTATTTAATCACAATTATTTCTGTGGGTAAAGGCTTATGATTGGAATAACTGCATTGTATTGAAAATCAAATGGAACAACCTGAGGATTCAGTTTTAAGACCAAGGTTCTTTGTGAATTTGTTGTGGTTTGTAGATACATTAAATATTTATACTTTTTAGCATGGCTTACAAAAAAATGTCATTAGCTCAAAATATGAACTTAAGCCTTGATGTATAAAAATGCCCTAATTTTAGGTAGAAAAGCCATGTCAGTATATACATAATAACTATTTTCCAATAAAAATCACTTAAATTGTTACTATGAAAACTTTTATGTTAATACCATGAAAGACTATGCAGCAGTATGTGGCAATCAATGTATAAACAGTATTAAATTTACATATTTTCTATAGTAAAGAATTATAGGTGTTCAAGCAAGTTCATCAGTTGATGTGTTTTTAAAGGACAAAACACCAACTTGTATTTTGATTTACAAATTATACTTGTTAGCACATACTGCACTACTTTGAAATAATTTTGTGAAACAATATTTGTTTTCCATCTCCCAAAGACAAATACTAGTGTTAATAAGAAGGAAAAAAAAAGTAATGTGGCACAAATTCTTTTTTTAATGAGAAGTCTCCCCTTTCAAGCCTGTGGAAATAAGAAATGAAGAATCTCCTTCCAGCACCTTAAGTAGTTGGCACTTATACTGCATACAATTTCTAACTAACTACAATTGTCAATGGATAATACATTTTTAAAAAGAAGAGACCTGTACTAGTTCTTCAGAAAAGAAGACATCTTTAAACTCTACAATATTATATAAGTTGTGGAATGAAACAACTATATCTCATTTCAAATGTGAAATCTATCAGGTGTGTGAATGTAGTTGCCTGTAACAGCAAATCATATGTAATGCATCAGAGTCATTTCTGTGCTGACATGTTAATGGAGAATTATGAATAGAATCTGAATATATGAGTACTTACTTACTAACCAAGAACCTATTATTAATAATAACTTTTAAAAATAAGAATCCAGTAAAAGGATCTAACCCACTCATCTTGAGTCAGTCCACTTATTGGGTTCCCCTTGGGTCCAGAAATTTGGTGGAGGGGGAAGCAGTGGCAACATTAATTACTGTGGCTCTAGGAGCGGACCCCAGAGGGTCCCAACTAGCATATGTGGCTAGCCCCACCCATCCTACATGTACGATCCAGCCCATTGACTGGCCCTGCACCATCCATCTGGCCCCTCCAGCTAGAAATGTTGAGCATCACAGTTCTTTTTTATTTTGCAGAAGTTCCTTTTCCTCAAAATCATAAGGGAACAGCTATATATAGTATAGAACAGTACAGTATAAATATTTTGTGTTAGTTGTACTTTATTTTATAAATATGCAGTATATTAAAAAAACTGAATGAGAGTGCATATACACTGAAGCTTTTTTATTTTCTTTCTTCTTTTTTTAAACAGTCCAAGTGCAGTCTCTATTATCTTTCTAGCTGCTTTTCAATATTTGTATGTACTTTTTGGGTTGGGTAAAATTATTTCAAGGCTAACAAGGCAATGGTGATAGAACAGCTTATGCAACTAGCACTTTGGTATGAATGGAAAAGAGTTTACCCACCAGTATTTCACTGTGTGCTATTTCAGTGTGTTATTATTCAGGCAAAAAATACATTCTCTCTTTTTGAACAGCGATTCCCTGGAGGCCACACAGCCTGTTGCTTATGCTGCCTCAGTAAAGAACATGCCTATGAGTCCTGACACCAAATCATCTACAGCCAACATCACATCTGCTACAGCCGTTAAACCAACCGAACCTCAGAGTGCTGTCAAATACTCAGGCTGGCAACCTTCAAACCAAGCAGGTAACTTGAAAGAAGTCTTTTTCTTGTTCATTTAGGGGCCTTTGAATCTTTATTAAAATATTCAAATCTACTAAAATGTTATTATTAAAATGATGCTAGAAATTAATATTGACATGGTTTGTCTCATCCACATTTGTTTTAAAAATAGTTATTGTTGTTACTTCCTCTATTTTATTGCGAGTCAACTAGTAGAACTTATCCCTTAGCCGTTTTATGAGTAATCCCTATAATTTAGTTGATTTTTCTCATGAGTAAAATTTTGAAGCTTGTGATCTTCAACTATTTATTAACATAATTAATAAAAGTCAGATAATATCAGATTAGCTGATACTAAAATGCTCTAAACAGATATTTCTTAAATGTTTATAAGCTTATAGAGAAAAATATCGGGAGAAGAATACATTTAACATGTTGGTTCCTTGCTTTTGTTCAAGTGGGATTTTAAGTGTTGAAGTATCATTCAGCAGCATGTAGAGAAAAGTTTAAGTCTTTGGTATTTCTGGCTTTCACTTTAGTATTAAATTCTAACTATGCAATGTTTAATTTGTGTAGTGCAAACATTAAAAGCTATCTCCTGTAAGGATAATTTGAAAGACTATTCACTTTGAATATGGTTTTATAATTCTTTTATCATTCTTATCCTTATGTATCCTTGCATTTCTTTCTTGTGGAAAATGTACTTTGATTTGCTTAAGTATGATAAAAGCAAATAGTGGTTTAGCCTGAGAGAAGGTGCTGCTTTTTAATTCATAGTTACTCTAAGAAATGCACCATACCTGTGTTAATGATGTAATAGTAAGTTGAGTTGTTATAACCCTTTTTAAATTACTTGGTTCCTAAACTGAACTCTTGTCTTTGGCCCTGTGGTGAACTTGAACATTCATTTCTAGGTACCCAGGGGATTTTCTCTTAATTATTTTTACTGTCTTAACCATCAGGTTTCTTATGAGAATATGATGGATTTCCTCAGTTCTACTTCTGACTGTGCCTGAGCTCTTAAGTAGCATTTTTTTTATCCTACTATTAAGGGATTTCCCTCTTAAAAAACCTCCTTAAAGGCCAGAAATAAATCAGTACCCAGTCAGTTCAATGTAGAAATGAAAGTGAACATATGGCGTTAATGCAGTATGTTTTATAAAGGCCTCTTTGGACCAAATGGTCAAATTACAATTGTATCTAATGAATAAAAATGAAATGTATTTTGTACTGGACATGCAATACTATCAAACATCCTCAAGATGGCAATAAACTGACACTTCTATACTTGTTAAAACTGTCTTGTAAGGCAGCAGCAATTTGACTGATAGAATTCAGAGTTATGTAAATTTAAACAAGTATATTTTTAGTGCCTTTTTCCCCTTGTCTGAATCTGAAATGAAAATCTATAACATAGGGACATGTCGTATAAAAATATTCGTCTGTTTTCTGAATCTTTTATAGTTTTGTTAGTGCTTTTTCCACAACCTAGTTGATTTATTTCAGTAGCAAAGACCCTTTTAAAAACTTGAGGTTTCAGCAGAACACCACCCATTTACAGTATGTGAATGGGTGTTACATAGAGAAATCACATAAATAACCTCCGTGTAAATATAAATCTAGTGCTTAAGAGATTTTTTTTTCACAACTGACTGCCATGGAAGCAGTGAGCTAGAAAGATATATAAGGATTAAATCACCTTTCTTACCAAACATATAAATATGTTTGCTATAAATATACAGACCTTCTTCATGTACTGACAAAGTTAATATCACCTATTTGGTACAAAGCAAATAGATCAAGAAAATGCGATCTTGGTTGGTTGGTTTGGTTTGATTTGGGTAGGCTTTGTATTAGGATTTTTCTTTACCTAAGAAAAATAAATTACTTATAAAGTTTGAAATTCAGGCTGAATTTAAGCCAACTACTCATTACTATCAGTAGTTTTTCATGTTTGAGGCTGCATTTGCAAGTTTGTATATATGTAGAGGAAATCTGTGTATAAGTGTTATAGTCTTATATCAGTCAACCTTGAGTGTCCATGTTAACATTTAATACTCTGAAGAGTTGCACTAACAGTGCAAGTCTGCCAGATCAAAAAATCTATTAGTTTGAACTAGGCAAGACTGAATTAAAGACTTCATTTGAGTGAAAGAAACTTCATTCTGCATGCCAGCAGGCATAAAAGAGAAGCCAATACAGTAAAATGTTGTGCTAAATAACCAGCCTCTAAGCCCTTTGGACAAAAGACTGAAAAAACAAAGAAAGCTTCCTTATCCTAGTTCAATATGACACATGCTGTTAAGATAGAGTAGTTTATCTCCAGGCACTGACAATAATCATGTTCAATCTATTGCCTTTTTGTAGAATCCTGAGGTAGTTACGTTAGGAGAATTGAAAACTGGTTGCCCTGAATTCACCCAGTTTCCTTGAGAGTAACAACTTGAGTCATTATCTTTCTTTCAATAAAAGTGTCATGAAGATTATGGGTAAAGATAACATAAGAGGAAAGTTATTCTAGCTTTACGTGTATTGTCATGTTGTTTAACTTAGTCTGGTGTCCTCTAGAGTGCCAGCCATTGACTGTGGTCTGGTTTTCAAGCACTCAGAAAAACTAGTGCTTCTGTAACTTCTAAATGCAATTTTTTTTAAACTAGCTGAACTTGCATGTCTGGAGATGGCCATAGCATTGTAGGTTTGCCTGTCACTGGGCTGAGGGGGGAAAAAAGGAAGAATTTGGGTTACAAAGTATCTTATATACCTGGCTATGAGACGGCATCTTACATTTTGATTGGAATTGTAACAGCTGCCAAGATAGTTCAGGCTTGACCAGAGTTTATATTACAGGTTTCATTGCAGATCTGCCCTTTAAACATGACGTAGGCTCACCTGTGGTTTTATATAGCATGCAGTCCCCAGAAAGTAGTAATGCAAAACCAACAGATGAAAGGGATCTAGGCATGGTTACAACAGCACTAGAGCAGAGATTGGATCTTCTTCTTTTTCTCAGGCATATATTTTACAAAATAGAAACCTTTAAGGTTTCCCTTCATCTAAACACACTGATAGAGGTGTAACAAGGTCTTTCAGTGCCCCGGGGGAAGGGTGGGTATGGTTTTGCTTGCTGCAGCAACATGGGCTTGGGCTGCTGTCGCTGTGGGACAGGTAGCAGCATGGGTTACCTAGGGGCTATCCTGGTGGCATGTTCACCAACCCCCCACCCCGGTCTACCCCTGGGGTGGGGGGAAACATCATTCCACCCCTTTCCTCCAGATACGCACTACTGGGCATGGGGTTGCATCTGCACAGGTTGTATTGCCAGGCCATGCAGGGCTGTGCCTGCCATGAAAAACACTCCTGGGGAGAGAAGGAGGCCATGTTGCCCCATGGAACTACTGGTCCCCACCCCACTCCAGTTATACTACTGTTCCATGGAATTAAAACCAGCAGTTTTTCTCTGACAAGCACAGCTGATCATTGGTTAACTGTTTTTAGGGGTTTTTTTAATGTAATCAAGAGCTTGAGAAACAGGACAAAGAACTGTAAGGCTTCAAGGCATCTTTTGTATTCAGTTACTATTTCTACTGTCTTACTGCAGTAGAGTAACCTTTGCCTGTGTTTTTGATAAGTGAAAATCCCTGATAATTCCCAGACCAAAAATATTTTAGCCGGATTTTTAACGTATTTTGTTGTCTAAGAAGACAGATAAGTACCTGCTGGTGCTTTTCAAAACCACACAGATGACCAATTTGGTTTTACAGTTGACATGCATATTTATGAACTCGGGTGCTTAAAATGAGGCACGCTTAGAAAGACTGTTCAAGTCCACCTGAATTTCAAAGAATACTTAGTATTATAAAACAAGTTATAATACAACAAAATCTGCCACATGTATCAAATAAAAGTATAAGAACTGGCTTTCTTATAAGGACATTTTGCTACTTCAATTGGTGACAAAATTTCAGGCCAAAATTTTCAAACCTGAATCCCCAAATTAAATCTATGCTTTGGACCACTTTTATGTGGTCTACCAAAGCACTAGACATAGATTTAGGAACCTCACTATAGGCACCCAAGTTTGAAAATATTGTTCTGAATTATTTGTCACTTAATAAATTAAGAGAATATGTCTCTAAGAGGAAACCCAGGTATACTTTTTTCAGTTTTTTTGACCAAATAGCAGTTAAAGCTAATACATTACACTTCATACTTTTAAACAGTACCTTTGCTGTTCAGAAAAATAAAAGTCTATTTTAGGAAATAATAAAAAGGCAGAAATAAATAGCAGAATCATTGCATTAGACATTATTTCAACCCCAACTTGTGGTACTAATATTTTGGACAATATACAATAAATATTTATAGTGTAGATTATATCATATTGTATCCATAATGAAGCAAAATAATAGTAAGATTTTTGCATGCCATTTAGAGAAGCTGTAAACAATTATGACTAGGCACATACCCCACATGCATAGCATGAATATTACTGGCAGTTTAATTAATATAACTTCAGACTACACAGATGCATCCTTTAGATAGGATAACATCTTTTAGCCTGGCTGCAGTTAGGCAGAATCTCTATTTCTTGAATAGTCCACCTTTTCTTGCTTCTCTGTTAATAATTAATACAGTTTGCTTTCCTTAAACATAATGGCAGAAGTACCTACAGGTATTAAAATGTTCATGCACATACCATATTTTATCGCATACCACACTCCCCCAAAATAAAGCGCACACCTTGTTTTTGAAAGGCAGAATGCAAAGAGAGAGATTTTTCCCAGAGTCATGACCTAAAGTTGGCTTTTTCATGGGCCGGCAGTACTGCAAGGCAACTATCAGGTTCTTTGGGGTTCCCTCCCTCTTCCCGCACCACCTGGGACAGCAAGCCAGAAGGATCAAGTCCAGTGTTGCTAACCCTTTCACAGATGCTCTCAAATTGGCAGCACTAAGTTTTTGACTGAGCAGTGAGTTTGGTATGATCTCCATTTCATTGGTAGTTTACTCAGAAAAGTAGTACAATA